GGTCGTTACTGGGCTGAGATTTCTGACACTATCATATCTGGAACTTTCAGACAGTGGAAAGAGGGTACAACTAAGAGTGAAATATACTACCCTGGTAATACCTAAATACATTTAATTCAAATTGTATGTTCTTTTTTTTAATGGTTGTATGTCTTCAGTCTATTTCACCTGTAGACATATCCAAATGTCTTTTTTTTTTCTGCGCAGGTGACACAATAGTTCATGGTGTAGGTGAAGCCACTTCCGTGCAGTGGAGCGCTGGAACTTGGATGGTGGAGTACGGCCGAGGTTTCATACCCTCCACGCTTGGATTTGCCCTCGCTGACACCTTGTTCAGCACCCAGGACTTCCTCACAATGTTCTATACCATAAATGTCTATGTTAAAGGCATGCTGCTTGAGGCTGGTACACTTCTTACAGAAGTTGGTGTTTTCTGAGTCACAGCTGGAGCATGGTTGCCCACACAGGGAAAGTGACATTAAAAGTTCACCTTAGATCACACAACAATTTTATTTAGCACAGAGGGAAAGTCTGTACTGGAGCATACCATGTAGATGCCGTCTATATTTAAATTCTTGCAATCAAGAAGGCTGTTGATGGGGTTATAGGCTAAATTGACTTAGCTGTACTACTCAAACATCCATCACACCCAAAACACTTTTTCTCTAATTTGAGTCATGGCCTGTTTAATTATATAGATATTGTGTTCGCATTGATAAACAATAAGAATTACTATGAATGCTCCTCCTGACTAAGTCATTGAGGCCTTCTGTACTCTAAAGAAATTATTTTTGGGGGATAATAAATTGAACACCGAAGACCTTCTAACCAACTTGTTTCTAATCATTTTTGTATTTTGAGAATCGTAATAATTCTGTAATATTTATAATAAAAGTCTTGTATGATAATTCTTTAAATGACATATGAATAAAAGTATGATTTATAAAATGCCTTAGCTGCCATGAAAAAATCTGACCGCAATCATCAAATATGGGGACCAAGAAACATATTTCTAAACAAACATTCTTAACTTGCACATCAACATTTCAAGAGCCACTATTTTCTCAGAACATTAATTTGTATATTGGTTCGATGGAGGATTAGGGCCATGTTAAAAATGTTTCTTATTATTTCGTAAGTTTACAAGAATAAAGTCGAAGATTTACGAGTTTAATCTCGTAAATTTACGACTTTATGGCAGCTAAGGCATTTTTATAAATCATACTTTTATTCATATGTCATTTAAAGAGTCGTAAATTTACGAGAATAAAGTTGTTAATTTACGAGATTAAATTTGTTAATTTACGAGAATAATCTCGTAAATTAACAAATTCGAGACCAGCCTGCGTAAAATGATGAAACAAGATGGTGGATTATCTGGCTGCTTTTTTCTCTTAAAGCAACAGAAACTCTTAAAGTATTTTCATCTGCAGACTCAACTTCCTCCAAGTCAGTGTGGTTCTTTATTCGGAAAAGCCACAATTTCTTGCTGTATCTTTTCAGGGTGCTGATATTTTAAAGACAATGTGAAGATGGTGATGTGCCAAAAGCATGTGTAGCCCCAACACAACTATTTGTGTCTGTTATCAGTCTGCCTTGTTAAAGTGTCTCATGTGCAGAGCCAGTTTGTGTCCTGTTCATCATTTTACAGATAAACAAGGTCTTGCAAGTTGAAATGAAAACTTCTCTTGAACTAACTGTTTTTACCAACACAAGGAAGTAGCCTATTTCCTTATTAGTGAAACCTTTAGGACAAAATGCTCCATGTTTGTCGTTTAAGAACAGGATGCTGCTGCTCTTCTGATATAGACTAAAATAACAACTTTTATTCTTTAAAGACTTTAAGAGTTCTACTTTCATCATTTTCGCGCAGGCTGGTCTTGAACTCGTTAATTTACAAGATTGAACTCGTAAATTTACGAGAATAAAGTTGTAAATTTATGACTTTAATCTCATAAATTTACGACTTTAATCTCAAAATTTAAAAAAGTATATTTTTTTAATGTGGCCCTAATCCTCCGTCGTGATATTAGTGTGTAATTGGGTTTGTTTTTGTTTTTGTTTTTTCAGTTAATTAGTGTAAACAAAGATTTGACTGGAACTTAACACAGTAACCTACTTCATCAAATATGTTTGGTAAGGGGACAAGCTTGTCTTTGAACTTCCTGAATGTATTTGTATTTACTTCTTGGAAAAAGTTTATAACTTGAGAGGTTATGAAGAAAACTATACCTGACAATAACCTTTTTATTTAAAATTAAGTCATGATTATTGGTCAAGAACAATGCTGTTCATTTGGTCAGTGAACTTTGAAATAGTTTAACAGGTCAAAAAGCGTTTGGGGGGAAAAAAAACATTGTTTCACTTGGTTTTGTGCTCAAAAAGAAAAGCACTACTGATTTTACCAGTTTGTTTCTACTCAAACAGCTTTATTTTAAGGCAAATGCCTGAACGCATCTGGGATCATGTCGTGTTTGTATATACCTTTAAGGAGTTATCTGGTTTTACATGGGCAAAAGTAGCTGTGTTGTCTCAGTGGTGAGACAAATAATTGTTTACTGTACCTTGACTGTTAATGAGGGGATGTGCAATTCACTGTAAGCTAAAATAAAAATGACACATTAAGAAATAAAAGTTTTATAAGTTAAGTATTACAAGACTTGATTATTACTTATTACTTCCGACTTCAAAATTAATCAAGAAGTACCAACTTACAGCATTGGTATACAGAGATCTACTATTGCTATGGGATTACAGTGTGTGTAATGATTCTGACTTCAGGTCGACCTTATTTAGAGCGAAGTTTGAAGCACAGTTCATATTGCATTTCAGTGACCTATAAGGTAAGTAATCCACTACAGATGCCTTGTTCCCCAGTAAACAACGATAAACTGGTGATCTTTTTGGAAAACATTTACTGAGCAAAATCACAACAACTGACCTTGTAACCTTGAGAGTCTATAGTTGTTGGTAGGTAGAACCTGAAGTATCTGTATGAACAGGCTGTGTTGCATAAGAGGCCGGTGGATTAGAGGCAAAACCTATCAGTCTTCATCTCTGTCCTCAATCAAACAATCATTATTTGTATAGCACCAATTCATAACAAGTGTTACCTCGAGACGCTTTACTAAAGAGCATATGGGATAATATGCAGGCAGGATTTCTCCTTTGTAGTCCTCGCTTTCCTTGCCGCTGAGGTGGTGTTGACCTGAGGTGTCAGGTGTTGGTTGGGACGTCACAAACCGAAGGTGGAAGCTGGGCGACGCGGTCCGATTGTAGTGGCTGGGCGTCAGGGACGTCAGGTGGTAGTAGTGCCAGATCACCTCGCTGAAGGTTGGAGGAGCGTCTTCTACTCAAGAGCCTGGCTTATGGTGCGAGGACAAGGCCTACTGGGCTTATGGCACGGATTGGGGGGTCCATGGCAGCAGGCCGTCCTCACCAACAATCCAGAGGAACCTACAAGACCTGAGAGCTCAGGAGCTCCCAGGAAAACATGTGGTTAGTCATTAAGAACAATAGATACCGACATGCAATAATATGATGTAATTGCAAAAAGAGAGAGCAGGAGAGATAGGAGCTCAAGTTGCCAGTTCCCCCCGGTAGTCTAAGCCTATAGCAGCATAACTACGGAGCTGGTCTATACCTGCACCAGCCCTAAATATAAGCTTTATCAAAAAGGAATGTTTTAAGTCTATTCTTAAAAGTACAGAGTGTGTCTGCCTCCCAGACCTTGACTGGTAGATAAAGTCATTATGTTTATTTATGAGATAAAAAGTCGAAATGTTCTCTTTGTTTATCGTGTCCCTTGCTCTTGGGTTTAACGATAAAGTGGTTTATTTTGTGACTTCTGCTCCAGGGGCCTGTATGTACATATCTTGAATCTTACCCGAGAGGCACTGCTGCAGCAGAGGAGGTTTGGTGACTGTCAGAAACACCAGAAGAAGAAGAAGGAGTTTCACATCAAAGTTGGGAAAAAAAAATCAGTGAGGGGTTATCAGTCTACACAGGGGAAATGATCACACTTTTATTAGTATACAGTGAAAATAGAATAGAATTACTTTATTGATCCCAAACTGGGAAATTGTGGCGTTACAGCAGCAGGTTGTCCAAACACACAATATTAGCAAAAACAGGATACAAGACCATTGAGATCTGTAATTTGTTCAGATTCAAGTTCATCACTCATCAGTTTACAATACAGTCATTCAGACAGCAGACCGGACATTTTAATAGAAATCAAACAAACACTATACAGAATTAAAATGATGGGTCTTACAGTTGTGTTTTTATGGGTACCTGCACACGCATACAAGGAAACGAATTAGCAGACAAGGTGGCAAAGGGGGCTACATTAAATACTCAAGTAGATTTTATAGTTAGCATCAGTAGAACAGAAGTAAAGAGCATCATTAAACAGAGATTGAAGGAAAGGTGGCAAAAGCAGTGGGAGGAGGAAAGGAAAGGAAAATGGTTTTATAGAATCCAAAGGAAGGTTGGTGAAATGAGAAGTGCAGGAACAAATAGGAAAATGATAGAATAATATCTAGATTAAGATATGGACACACTCGATTCTTATAGTACATTGTGTAAAATTGGAAAACATGATGGACATGGACAAGAGGAGACAGTGGAACATGTCATTTTAAACTGTCAGAAATATAGTTTAAAAAGAAGACAGATGGTGGAAAATTTGAAAGAAATGAAAGTACACTCGGATTTAATAGATATCTTACAAAATAATTCCGAAAATTAAGGCTATAGGATTTGATGAGTACCTTAGCCGAACTAAGTTGATTGAGATGATATCATTAATAATATTTGTATTCATTTGTTTTATTTATTTATTTTTATTTATTTTTATTTATTTTTATTTATTTTTATTATTATTTACAGAAAGTAGTACACCTTAGTTTGAGCCACACTCCACACCGGTAGTTGAATTCAGTTAGCCTACATAGACTGTGGAGGGCAGCATTACACTCAACAGTGTACAGCCTGCCGGAACATCATTACAAGACGAAGAAGGAGGAAAGCTGTCAGGAAAGGTAGTGGCGTCTGTCAGTCAAAGTTCACAAAGACTTTCTTTGCTTAGTGATTTGTCGACGGAGAAGCGAACCTGCACAGCATGAGCGACAAAAAAGAAGTCCAGTTTGATCCAAAAGGTATGGAGATGTTTACACGGAGCCTACTGGAGTAACTATCAAACTCACTGGAAGTTATTTTCGTATATCGGTTGCAGACAACTTTTCAAATCTGGCGTAGGCTGCCTGTTTTATGCTACTTAACATCCACACATACGGTCTCCTGAGCAGACCTTTTGGAAATGAATTGTATGCACTTTCTCCACACGAGTGTTTTTCACAACACAGCACCTTTATAGATGTTGCCAAAGCGCGTGACTCTCGCGCGCACACAACCCTGACCAAAAATTGCAACAGGTTTCTAATAGATTGTTCATTTTGTTGTCTTAGAAACACATTATCTGTTAATAGAAAACCAATACTATTGACTTTAAGTCAAATTGTTTAGTAGGTTGCAGTGGAAAAACGAGCTTCTGTCAGCGCAACACTTTATTGAGACGTTCTTCAGGCAGTCTTTATTTTTTGTGTGCCTATCTTAATACTGAATTAGTGCAACCTGAATTGAATCATGAAATTAAGCATATAGCCTACTTTAACTTGCTTTATTTATTGTCCAAATCGTGAACATAGGCTACAGCTGATCGCACTCTGGCCGTGACGTCATGTTCACGTGTTTACTTCCTGTTTTCCTATCATGTAACTTGTCTAACCAATAGGCTACATGACATCCCTCCTTTTTGGGGGAAATAAACTTAATCAAATGGTGTATTTTTTTTTACAGATCTGTACACCAGAAAATATCATTTGTACATATTACTTAAACACAAAATCACTGAGTCTTTCAGGTGTCCTCTTGACTGAGGTCTGGTCACTGGTATGTCTGAACTTTGAAAATCTTGTCTTGATGTCTGAGTGACCATTGTCTGTGTGTTTGCTTCTAGCACTCTGTCCTCAGTTCTTATATCTTCTTGTGTACGTTGTACTCTCTTGTGATTGTCTGTCTCATATCTTTTTACATGTGTTGTGTTCAACTTCTGTTTGAACTTTATCATAAAGATATTTGAAATCAAACCATTGAAAAAAAAAAAATCTAAAAAAGTAGTTTTTTACATACATTGACATTTAGGGGGGTTTTTTTTTGTTATGGGAATGAATGCACTTTGAACTAATTCGGTAAAATTTTCTCCTATATGTACCACAGCTTTCTTTGAGTTTAAGATAGCTCAATTTTAATCTGGACCAATTTCTATGGACCAAACCTTTTAGGAACAGGTAACAATAAGACAATGGAGAATGAGGGGGGTTCATTCATTATACTCACTAAATGAAGGTTCAGTGATGCCATGTATATAGACTGTTTACAAGTTTGTGCTGTTGTAACTGCAACTAGAATCAGCAAGGCTGAACTTCACTGTGTGTGTGTATGTATGTAAAGCTCCTGCTGTGTGTTCACCCGCCTCTTGAGTTTCTGCCCCATAGACACATCTCACTGTGCAACGAATAACAGATGGGCAGCCCAGAGCTCTGTCTGTTCGTCTCATCTCCTCTCATATATATGTAGAGCGTTAGCTGTCCATTATGTAGCCCAGGACACATGTGCGCATTACACACCACCAAACCAGTGGGGACAAATGTGTCAAGAGTGATCAGATCTCAGTCCATACTCAGGATGCACTGGGATGCCTTCACACTTGTCCACTTGTATTTCGATCAGGAGGATATTGATGAAAGGTCTAAACAGAGTCCTAAGTCCTCCTCCTCAAGGATGAGGGATAGTTTCATGAAAAAACACTGACAGAGGCACCAAAGCTGCCTTATGAGAAATCCTTGCTTTGTATCTATGTTGAGCAAGTTAGCACCACTTTACATGCAACACTGCTGTTTAATGAGTTAATTTGACATTTTTTTAAAACCTTAGTGTCTTTCATAGATCGATTGGTTAACCTGATCTTTATAGGCCTAGAAACGACTTACATAGCCTGTAATAGCAGCAGTTATACATTTTTACATTTATTTATGCAATTGTCAGTGATGTGTCAATTGTCATGATCACTTAGGTGATTCTACAACACTTGCTTTGTACAAGAAAAGACACCTTCTTACCTTTTTGGACATATTCACTTATTTTAACAATAAGGTGTATAGAGAACAAACCATATGACGTATTTTTGTAGGCCAACCCTGAAGAAGCATCGCCATGGGGTCTCACAAGAATTCACCTATGGGATTTTTGCATTGGATTTTGGATCATTGCAGAAAATAATCTCTGTGGCAAACACACGTTGCTGATGCGTAGGCGTTTTGTTAAGCAGGATAATCTTCACAGATGAACGCCATTTTTATGATGTTTGAAGCGTTAATGCAGCCAACAGAAGTAAAAAGCTAACGTTATGCTACAAGCGAACTACACCACGGTCGGATGGTATTGACGCCACTACCGTTATGTTTCAGACAATCAATGATAAACTAATCCATGTAGTTTAATAAATTGTTTATTAACCTAATATTTGCCTTAACCCAGAGATTAAACCTACAGGAGACATAGTATATAGTGAGAGAGTTCCCGGCCTCTGTGTCCGGCGTGATGACGTTTAATGTCCCCAACAACCACTGTAGTCACATTTAACCACTTGTTAGCAACCGCCTTTTTAAGGACACATAAAATCTTCAAAATTCACAAGTGGAGGTATTACCTAACATAGTTTATGTGGTCTAACAAAACGCCAACATCTCTTAAGATTTTGTTAACCACAGACCTTATTTCAGGCGTCTTACCACAAAGCCATTCATAATTTCCATTGACATTTAGACGATAGACCCCATGGCGCTCAAATGCCAACTTACTTCCAGGTTTTAGGACTCATTCCTGTGGCGCTCTATTGGATATGAATAGAACACATAACCTTCAAACATCTGTGCCATGTTTACAGTGTGTTATTCAGTGTGACTGCTGTAAATCTAGAGCTATCAAACAATTAGAATTAATTCTTCTTTTAAATATAATGAATAATTAATTTGTTCACAAAAACACTTCCGCTAACTGTAAACTATTTAGTAATTTATTGTATTATGTCTCCTAAACTCCTCAGAGCACCAGCATCTGCGCTATAATCCCCTGCGAGATACCTGGGTCCTGGTGTCTGCTCACCGCATGAAGAGACCCTGGGCTGGTCAGGTAGAAAAGCCTACTGAGGAACATGTACCCAGATTTGACAGCAACAACCCACTTTGTCCCAAGAACACACGAGCAAGTGGAGAGGTGAGAGCAGATAGATATCATATTTCTACAATTGCACAAAATCACAAAATCACGACTTATAATGTATGTTCATGGTTTGGACAATAATGTTTGGTTCTCCACGGGTCATTTAAGCTTTATTAAACTGATCTTTTCTCAGCTCAAAAGGTCTTCCCCTTGCTCACACAGCTAAGAATTAGTCAGTGATCACTAAAGGAAATTGCTCCAGAATTATTTTTTGATTAATTAGTGCCCAGCAGTTATTATTAAAGTAAAAACACACATTGTGATACAAAAATTTACTTTTTGCCTATTTTTCCCATTAATCATCTGTAACTAAAAGTATTACTGGTATTTAATCATAATTATACTGGTGTTTGTCAAACTGATATTGTATTTGATATGTTTCTTGAATCTTCCAAACAACAAGGTCACCCTTGTGAAAGAGATCCTGGTCTCAATGGGTTCTTTATCTGGTTAAATAAAGGTTAATAAAAAAATACAAATAAAAATAAAAAACATATGCCAGTTATAACTGATATTTTTTTGGTACCACAACATATTTTTTGCTTTATGTTCCCCAGTTTTTACATTTATGTGTCCACCTATTTCATTCCAGGTAAATGAAGACTATCACAGTACTTTCATATTTGATAATGACTTCCCTGCTCTTCAGCCAGATGCTCCAGATCCTGGTAAGTTTCAATGCTGTAAATATATTTACTATAGCAAGTCATTGAAAAACAGATTAGGAAATATTCAATCCACTGGTTGGGTGCTTACACATTTTTTTCAACTGCTTGGGATGATGTCAGTTTTTTGCATATTACAATTTAATCTAGTTTTTTTTTTTTATTTAGTGAAATGCAAGGTTATACATATTTATTAGTGCTGTCAATCTATTAAATAAAATAATTATTTATAATAATAATTAATTGCATATCGATAAAATGAGATGGATTGCATTACAGGCCGATTCTCTGCATATCCCTGTTTCCACATGGTTATATCTAATTCCAAATTTAAACGTTACTCTGTTTTCACATTAGTAAGAGTCAAAGAGTGTATATTACAATTTACTTAAACTGATCAAGTTGCCTCCCTTAAGTTCTCACCCACCCCTCCCTCCACACACACACATTCTGTATACACACACACACACACACACACACACACACAGGGTAAACAACAAGCAAGCCTGTTGGGGCTATATGCACTTGAACTTAAGTTACATCCAGTAACTATTACTTGTCTGCTCAGCACTGCTTATCACGCTGCTCTCTCAGGTTGTCTCTATGTCACTTGTGTTGATTCTTGTATAGATATATAATAACAGTCAAAGGGTTATGACATTGTTGTCATGTGTTTTTATCAACTTAAGAACACTACCCTGGACGTGTGTATGATCAGTGATGAATGACAGCAGAGATATTTACCTGTTATTTATCAAATTAACACGTTATTTTGACAGCCCTAACAATTGTATCCAAAACTTAGACATCAAATCATTTTTGACATGATTTCATGTCACAATGAGCAATTTGCTGTTGGGCAATATGACTAAAATGTAATGATGTCACGATAGCAATTTTCATATTAGTCGATATCAATAATTATCAAATGTCAAAGCATTATTTCTTCCGATTTAAAGGTTGATTTTAGCTTCTGAGTGAAATCTGAAGAAACCAGAAAGTTAATCATTCTTTACTGTTAGAACAGGACAAACTACACTCTTTAATTTTGGGTGGCAACTAATGTTTAAGGCACATTAACTACCTTTCCCAGTATTTGGGTAGTTTAATTACAGGTTAAAATCTATCAAACTTTTTTTGAACATTTGTTACATTTATATTGACAAAAATTGAATTGCGATAATTATCGTTAACGTTGTATTGCCCAGGCTTAGCATACAGGTGTAGAAGGATCAATGTGCTTGTCCCTCAATTTTCAAAGCAAATGAGTTGTTGAAGGCATAACATGATGTTATTGAAAACATTTTTTTTTTACTTTTTGTATGTTGTTTTTTTAGGTGTGGATGAAGATCCATTGTTCCAGTGTAAAGCTGCCAGGGGTGTCTGGTAAGAACAAAGCTTGATGTCACATTTTACTGCCTTATTTGTAAAGGTTTTACATTTTCTGTAAGGTTAATTCCAGCAACTTTTTAGTTTGATACACCCAATTGTGTTTAAAGGAAACAATTAAAGAGACTGTAGGTGATAAGCAGCCAGCAGATGGCATTATTTTCCGACAATGTTGTTAAATACAAAAACTTGTTGTAAAAGTTGATAAATTATCTGTGAGTGTCTCAGGAGATCTAATCCTTTTTAGATGCTCAGCGGAAAAACCTTCCTTTAAATCTATACGTTTCTGGGCTCAGGGCCTATGATGGAAAGTGCATAAAAATTTCTGATCTAACTTCCAGAAATTCCAGAAAAGTATTTTCCTATTCTCCTTATTGCTAAAGGAGCCCAGAGTTTACAACAATACAAAACAAGTTTTCTTAAAAAACTATTTATGGCAACCATCTGCTAGGACAAGCAGACAGACAGACGGACTGGCAGCAAGCAAGTTTAGGATATGATATGCTGTTGACCAAATTACCCAATTTGCAGATCAAATATGTATTTTGTATTTATATTATAAGTTAAGTGAGCTCCTCTCTTGTTGCCTAGCTCAATCACCTCGATCTTACCTACCAGGCTGCTGCTGACCATAGGAGAGAATAGGTCTGTCTTTGACTTTCCTGAAGATTTGGAAAAATACATAGAGGAGATTGGAGAACGAATGACTTGAAAATTATTTGCACATAATCCCAATAATTTATTTTCGAGCCATGATATAAAAAAGTAAAAATGTAATGAATTCAAAATGGATATATATATATGTAAATATATATCTAGTGTAAGTGATGCGAATTGTCAATTAACAAGCAATGTTAGTGTTGCTAAGAGAGTTAAACAGAATGGTTCCTCATTATGATGTGGACCCGTTCTAAGTTTTAGGAGGAAGTCTAATAAGGGTTAGGGGTTTATCAGGCTTGTTCAGGACAGGGTGGGGGAAATCTCTCTAAACCCACCATGGTACCCTTTTTATTTCTTCTCATTAAACCGAATGCCTCATTCTGTTATGATATATTTAAAAGCATGAAGGATTTGATGAAGGATTTCTACTGAAAAGGTAGGGGGAGATACCACTATATATACAGCATAAAAAAAACAATGTTGAATATCTTAATTGATATTTCATGGACTGTAGAGGCCTATAAAAACTCACTTCTCAGCTTAATCAACGTTTATGGACCAAAAAAATGATGATGAAAAGTTCTATAATAACTTATTTTTCAGAATATCATCATTGCCAGGCAAGCACATTGTTGGGGTGGAAAATACCTCTCTAATATCAGAGGCTGTCACCACAATAGTATAATCATTTTAGACCATGCTGTTGTATCTTTGACTCTTGTGGAGCCAAAATTGATACGCCAATCCCCAAAATGGAGATTTTATATCAAATGGATGCAATGTTTAAAGTTCCTACATTTCTTAGGCAACAACAAGCTTTATACATCACAGACATCTGCCACAAGTAGGTGGGAAACCTTTAAGGCATTTACGGGCTACGCAAGGCTACGCAAGAAGCATATACAAGTGTATTAAAAAAAATTGACAGCTCGAATACAATATTAAAATACTTGAGAACAAACGTTTTCAGTAAGAGCACAATAAACAAGAAATCTCAAAACAGCTATTACACCTTAGAACCTAATACAACGAAGAAACTATGATCATATAATGGATTCAACATTTAAATCTTTAGAAAGATAGATGACTCTTTCTATTTACCTCATTGGGAGGATAAATATATTAAAAATGAACCTCATTACCCAAATGTTTATACTTATTTCAGAATATTCGAAGTAACATTTTTAAGAATTACATCACTTATTACAAAATTTATATGGAATATGAAATGCCCCAGAGTACGCCAGTCTCTATTATATCTTCCATTTCGATACTGGGGGGTTACAATGTCTTAACTTTTACTGGTAAAACTTGGCAGTGCAGTTGAGGACCATAATGTTTTATTTTTGCTAAGGAAACCCTCCGACATGGATGGATAAAGAGGCGTACTCCTTCCAGTTACTATTACACTTATATCTTTATACTGCCAGTTTAAAACGTCTAAGAAATCATACTACTCATCCTATAGTTCTTAATATGGTTAACATATGGTATGAAGTTAGGAAATAAATTAATATGTCTCATTCTTTGTCACAATTTAGCCCAATATGAGGCAATACTGCAGTAAAACCAGGCAAACTAGATGCTGGATTCCAGATATGGACAAAAAGAGGAGTATAATATTTGACGTTTATAAAGAAGGCGTTTCAATGACATTTGAAGACATTTCTTTTGTGTATACTGTAAAATGCACTTCTTTACATTTTACAACTAAGGAGTTTTATTTCTTCTTTACAAAATGTATTATATTTATTATTATGAATTTGAATTATGAATTTGGACTCGGAGCTCTGATTTTTAGATGAAGCTTTTTCTTCCTCTCGACACAAGCTGTAGGCTAACTCAATGTTTTACTTTGAAGAAGGTTCGGATAGTCCTTCTGATGCCTCTCAACACCAAGCAATAAGAGCGCTCTTAGAGTTGCCCTAAAAGTGTTCTGACTTTTCCGTCAGGTTGAGGGACCCCCCTGTTCCTCAACCCCCTTTGGGAGTGGCTGTGCCCACATTCAAAACATACTTTTGAAGCCCAAGAAGGAAGAGAAACTCGTATCGTTTCACCATAAACTTATAAATGGACATTCTAAAGGTTTCAACATTATTAGAAACAAACCTTCAAACATTTAGAAGTGTGAATTATTCTTCCCAATCTGCATTTTAAGAAAAATCAGTTTATTAAACAGTCAACACAAATAAAATAGATAAATGAAATATAGAAATAGCATTTTTAAATAACACATTCCAATCTAGAGTCGATTAAAGTCATAGAATTCAAAACTATCTAAGCATGCAATATCAATATGTGTGAGAGAAAATCCTAACCAACTCCTTCCTCTATATCTCAGCTATTAAGAATCCTATAAAAACAAGAGTCAGAACATTTTTTTGGACAGAAATTACGAACTGCTTGATTTGAGTGCAAATGTGAGTTCTTTGACAGTTTTTATGGTCCTTGATGAGATGCAGACCTCAGCAGGGGTTTTCTAACCGGGAAGCGAAGTGACCTTTGAAGTCTCTGATTGCTTTTTTATTTGCTCCTCAGCACCAATAGTGTCAAACACTGTCCTAACAAATATATTGTTTTTTTTAATACTTTATTTATAGCTTCTTTTTTTTTTTTTTACAATACAGACATACAAGATAGACACGAACACCCAGCAGTATCACAAAAAAATGATGGAAATAAAAGCAAAAAGAGAGGCAAGGGGCACACATCTAGATATCCAAAGTTGACAGCAAAAACTAATTCAAAAAGAGACTGCCCCTCTTTTAAAACCGGTAGAAAACAAACAAAACAAAAACAAAACCACACACATATGGGTGGGAGTCAGTCAGAATCATCAGTCAGTATGCCAAATAAGGCATACTGACAACCTTTGCACATAATATAGACATAACATAGCAGCACAGACCATAATGAATACATTTAAGTTTTATCCAACAACATTAGAAAGGGTTTCCACACCTTAATGAAATAACCATCAGAGTTCTGCTTGCTAAAACGAATCTGCTCCATCTTAGCAATGAGAAGCATTTCATTGAGCCACCTTTTCAAACATGGGGATGTTGTAGACTTCCAGTTTATCAATATCATTTTTTTTAGCTGCAACCATGCCTGCATTGAGAGCATGTTTTTGGTGAGAGGGTAAAGGGCCTTGTCACGTCAGAGCTGCCGAAAATTGCCAAGTTGAAGTCTGGCTGAATATTTGTTTCATATTGTTTGGAAAACCAATTAAATATTTCACTCCAGAACTTACTTAAGCATACCGACGCAAGAAAAAAGGATACAAGTTGAACCTCAACATATCACTATAGTTCCCGAGGCTTTTAAAAGTTAAATAGACTGTCAAAATATAGATTTTACAACTTCTGGCTTCTCCATGCGCTGCTCGTTAGCGCCCCCTATGATTTTATAATTTGAATGAAATCCAGGATGTGAAAGGGGTCCAGAAAGTTTATTTGATGTCTGTTATAGAAAGGGATGTTTGATTATATTTTTTTAGGGGGGGTGAGGGGTTAAATATAATGTGTTTGTGTCTTTATGTTGTAAAAACAAAAAGCAGTACTTTGTGTTCAATTACATTGCTGCCTATGCTATTAAATCAATAAAGAAATTATGATTATGTTTATTTGACATGAATACCAATTTCAAGTGCAGCCAACCTTTTTGTGTACTCTAGTTGCTGCTTAGCAGTTACATCCTACATTTTGAAATGCTATTACAGACCACGTGCATGTGATCAGCTTACACTGAGTACCATGTAACTTTTCTACTTACAAGAGCAGATTTGCTCAATTTGAAGATGCTTAACACATTTATATCAATAAATGGTCAATGTTTGATAACTGTAAATCTTTTTTATATATCAAACTGGTGTTTTATTATTTCTATAATCCAAAATCTTTCTGCTCTTCATCTTAACTCTTCTCAGTAAGGTCATGTGTTTCCATCCCTGGTCTGACATTACCCTCCAACTCATGAAACAACAGGAGGTCGTGAAAGTGATTGACAAGTGGGCAGGGCTTGTTGAAGAACTGGGCAAACTCTACCCCTGGGTTCAGGTATGGCTTGCCTGCATACACACAGTCATCACTCTTGAAATTCACATATTATTGAAACAATTAATGGATAATTTTAATACTTTAACTTACCCCATTCTATGACGGGAATGTGAACCCAACTATATTGTGGGATGCAGCCAAAGCAGTTCTGCGGGGAAGAATTATATCAGAAGCTGCATTCGCTAAAAAGGCAAAAGCTAAAAGACGGACAGGGCTCCAGACTAACTTTTTGCATTGGTTGCACTGGTGCGCCTAACTTTTATTTTTAGGTGCACCAGCACAAAATTTGGGTGCACCCAAAGGCTTTGCCTTTAACGCCATATGGTCACCTTTTTAGCACTCTCCATAACTTTCATATAATGTGAATGATTTTTAAACAAGAATAAGGTGTAGAGCAGGAGTGTCAAAGGGGTGTCAAAGTCCTATTTTGTTCAAATGAGACCTCAAGTGGGTCGGACTCATTTTGCAGACATCACTATAACTCAACAAATGGATATATAGGCTAATGTATGATTTAAAAAAAAAATGTATATAAAACTGCATGATAACGCATAAAATGTAAAAGTACATTAAGCAGAGGGGTTAACTGTCATTGCAAACTGCATGTTGGTACATGGAAATATTTAAATGTACCACATTACGGAAGAAAACATCAATAGTTATGTATTGTATTATATTATGTTTTAATCTTGCGGTTCAAGGTTATAGAAACTTTGACACAGGTTATTCTACCTACCTAGGGAGAGAGAGAGAGAGAGGAGAGAGAGAGATGTATTTTAGTAGTAGGCATTATAAAATGATAACATGTTTCCAAACCAACAGACTTGAATTGATCCTTCAGCGTTGATCACTGCAGTCTGATCAGCTCCGTGTGGAGTGCACGTTTTTCAACTAAGTAAACTCAGTTAAACAACTTTTGATTTGACCCCTGCAGTCCGTTCTTCTACATGTCCGCAATATCGTAATCTCACTCTGTCCCTGACTTTTTATGCGCCGTGAATCTCTGCCATATCCGTGCACAATTCGAGGAACCATTTTAGCGCTGCTCCACGGTTAAACCAGCGGACCTCTGTATGATTGGACAGCCTGTGCGTGATATCGTTTTTGGATAAGCTGGTGATAAAGGCGCAACAGCAGGCTACTGCATTTAGAAGTGATGTCGCGCTGAAATTTTTAGGTGATCAACACAACACGTTCACTTCTGGGTGACCTAAAAATGAACCTGTAATTTAATTCTGTAATTAAAATCAGTTATTATTCATTTTAATTGACTGTTTTTACAATAACCAGAGGTTAAATAAGTCTATCATCAGGCTCAACGCGTTGCGGTGTCCGCAACCTACACTTAGTCTGGATGTGAGGACAGAGGGCTCCATGTCTTGGCTGGATGGACAGTCTTGGCTCCCAGTAGTGGGGATGGATGGAATGACAGTAGTAGGGCTGGTTGTAACAGTAGGTTTAGTTTTCTTAATGAAAAAACTTTCAATGTTTCTACCTCTCTTCATTTTCCCTCGTTTTGTCGAGTTTATTTTCTTTTTCCATTTCAATTAGGCTACTCTTTTTAAACACAAACAACTTAGAGCAGTGAACAGGACCACAGCCAATCAGAGGCAAAGACCCGCCGAGCTCTGCCTCTTATTGGTTTAGACCACGACATGATCCTACCATGAGTGTGAGTTTGGTCACAGGAGAACACAGAAAGATGATGCGCTTCACCCGGGCAGCATCAGGTGCACCAGTGCGATCTAGAAAAATTTTGGTCGCACTCTGGAGCCCTGCTGGATCTGCAAAAATGGCTATTAGATCTTGAACAACAACATAGTAGAAATAAGGATCCACAATTACTCCAACAGATCAGACCATTTAAACAAGAAATAGATCAAATTTATTCTGAGGAAGTAGAGAAAAAGCGCAGGTTTACGAAACAGAGATATTATGAGGCTGGCTCTAAGGCCTCTAAGATGTAAGCTGCGAAAACAGCAATCAGAAAACACAGTTTATAAAATCAGGGAACCTACTTCTAAAGAGACTACATATACATTAGAGGCAATACAAAAAGCATTCAAAAAGTTTTACCAGACTCTGTACACCCAGGCTTTACCATTTGATGCCTGTACAGCTGAACAGTTTCTGAATCAATTGGACCTGCCCTCTTCGGGGAAACTGCATAATTACAAACTAATCAAAGAAATATCAACTGGAGAAATTGGAAGGGCAATTTCTTCCTTGAAGTCCTACAAGTCTCCAGTTACTGACGGATTTCCAGGAGAGTGGTATAAAGCACTGAGAGAGGAATTAATACCTATATTACACAAGAGTTTCAATCATACTCTGAGGGAGGGAGTCCTTCCTCCATCTTAGGGGGAGGAGACTATTTCTGTAATTCCAAAAGAGGGTAAGGACCTAAATGAATGTGGGGCAGATGGAGCCAAAAAAACCTGCAACTGTTAATCTATCCACCAGGAGGAGCAGTGAAGATCAAGTGATAACTGCATCTGAAAACAGCCGCGTGTAATAATGTATGCGTCAGTCTTGCGCGATTTGTGTCTCTCTCTCTCTCTCTCTCTCTCTCTCTCTCTCTCTCTCTCTCTCTGTGAGAAATAGCCTACTGTATCAACACCCTCCAAAGTGTAATCCTAAATGTAAATTGGTATTCTTGCCTCTGCTATTTGGACATGGAGTGTTTAATCATGCCTACAGCATCTTTTTTTCTCCTCATCGCTCAAACCCTTTGTCCTACCACTCCTCCGTACATGAATGTTTTCTGCCTAGAAAAGTACATGTGAATAAGTTTTATATCTGTTCTTGGTCTGAGATCAATTTGAAAAAAAAAAAATATTCCTAATTGTTTAGCAAGAGTTTTGGAGTAGCTCTGCAAAATCCAGAGGTAAATTTACCCGTTATTAAAGTGAATTGATTTTCAAGCAACAGTGTCCCATCCTGTAGGCCAACAAGGTTGTTCATTTATCATCCTACACGCATGATGTATATTAGCCTACTTGTACATTTCTTCATTTGGACTTTTTAAGCATTAGTGTGTGTAAGACACCTCAAGATATGAAATAAACAAGCATGAAGAACACCTTAGATTCATGCTCTGCGTCATTATTTTTTTCAGACTTTTATCCAGGTTTAAAGTAAAACTGCAGTTTTTAATTTTTCCTGATATGCGGCTCAGATTCAGCTGCATTTAATTTCAGACTGACAAAATACCCAAAAGAGCCTAAGTGCAAGGAAGTGCGTGCAGATGTAGTGGTGAAAATACACTCTTCCACTGTGGAAGGAATGAAACCATTAGCATTTCAGTGCGTCTTTTTGTTCAAACGTAATGGACAGTCCATCCTAATCGGTCTCACAGCACCACATTGTCACACACATTGAATAAGGAACTTTGATCTGAACTCCAGCAGAGTTTTTAATATTTAATTTAAACATCCGTGACATGTAACTTGGGCTATAATATGATCAAAATTCTTTACATTCAGGTTTTATAGAAGTGTTCAGACTATAACATCCAACAATAACAAGTGTTGCAGCTCTTAAAAATAGAAGGTCCCGGACTGGAGTAGGCCAACTACACCCCAGCCTGAAATGATCCCACACCGAGGAGTTAGTGGTTCCATTCATTGGTTCAACCTTAATATGAGGAATAAGTGGCACAGGCAAAAATGGGCTCTGTCATTGCCATTAATATGAGATTAAATGAAACCTGAAACGTCCTGTATCAAATGAAGTGGCTGATCATGATCCTGAAGTGTGATGTCTAGTTCTTATCTTATGTCACAGTAACCTGGCCTAATTGCGTGCGCTATGCGAAATAAAGGAAATATGGCACATCAGCTTATTATTGATGATTTCAATCCCCAGATATGCAGATTAGTTATGATCTTAAGTTAATGTTCTGTATGCTCAAAGGGGTCGGCTGTTACACACACACAGGTTCATACTGTAAAAATGTTAGGAGAAAAACAGCCCTCTTTCTGATAAATCCTGACCTCAATCGCAGCTGTTTAAAAAATATTTCCTATTTAGAGGCTTAAAGTTTTATTTAGTTCAGCAGCCCCAAAGCGTTAAATGACTTTAGGCCTGTAGCTCTTACTTAAATTGTAATGAAGACATTTGAAAAGCTTGTGAAGACAGAGCTTGTGAGGCAAACTGAGCAGGCACTCGATCCCTTGCAATTTGCCTATAGGGCGCATAGAGGAGTTGGAGATGCCACAACTGAGCGGGGCGGCTGTGGCTCAATTGGTAGAATCGTCACCTCTCAACCGAAGGTCAAGGGTTCAATGTCCGATGTGTCCTTTAATGTTTCCCTTGAATTGTTTTTATATAAAGTGTTGTATTTATATCTGTAAACGCTGAATTTCTGTCTGCACATCAAGTTTACCTTTCGGTACTAATAAAGAAACCTTAAACCTTAAAGATGTAGATGAGTGAACTCTTTCAGTGTGTGTCATGGCTTTGAGTTGTGATGGTACTTATTAATATAAAATATCAATACACTAAGTATCTAGGCCTGACTATACAATAAATAAGGTATACTGTAGGTTGATGTGTAGTTGTGAGGGAAGCACCACCTCATGGCGAGGGGTTAATAACCTATACTGCAGCCAATCAGCAGAGGGAGCTTTACATTTTTTGGCTTCACTTGAGGCAAGGTGTCGCTGTTGATTGATTAATTTTTATTTTTTGTATTTTTTTGTTTTGTTATAATGTGTTGGTATGCCTACATCTAATTAAGGAAAACTAAACTGTTGATTCCCTTTTTCTCCTATTTTCTGCTTTTTTAGATCTTTGAGAATAAAGGAGCCATGATGGGTTGTTCAAATCCACATCCTCACTGTCAGGTACTAAATGCACACATCCACACTTAAAAAAGGAATTGATATTACATGTTTGACAATGAATCAAAAACTAAATATATACAAATATATTTATATCAACATTTATAAAACAAAGGAAGTTAAAAGAAAAATGAATAAAGTTGTGGCCTTTATGGAGAAATAGTCTAAAAGATCAAATGATCGCTATTTACAGGGAATGTACTCTAACCAACTCTTATATTCAAATGCTTTTCATCAGATCTTCCAGAAAAGTTTGATGCAAAAAAAATGGAAGTTCAATCTTCTCCAAATGATGTATATATGATGAGATCACAGTTTTTTATAAGTTAAATGCAAATATTCTACAACAGCAATAGCTCTCATTACTGGAAAAAGGAATTTGTATGGTTAAATTATTTTAATTTTTTGTTTAATATATCCACTTGAACTCCACTTATAAAACAGTCTAAGACTATAGTGACTGTACATTTTTGTTGAAGGGCGTGATCTTGATGGCACTGCAAATTTAAATGTCTCATCATCAGGACATTTGTTGTAAGAGTCACATTTATTTTCACAGGCATTGCCTCTACATACAAGCCTATAATTAGTCATAGTCAAAGGGCCTTTGATTGAAAAAAATTCTAAAGCACATGACATTTACATCCTGTTTTCAACACGATTTGTACAACAACAAAAATAATGATTTTAGCCCATTTGCTTCTACCACCAAGAGGGCACAGGCAGTGACATTTTCTGCCTTGCACTATCCAAAACCCATGAAAATTATATTTTACTTTGACTTCTACATATTCTCCGGCTGCAACACAGTGTGCACAAAGGTACATGGGCCCTTTTGACGCTGCTTTCAGTTTGAATTGTGAATCATAATAAGAATCGGCTAAGTCAGAATCAGCTTTATTGGCCATTTGTGCACATACAAGGAATTTGACTTCAGTTGACTTAGCTCTCTATGTACAAGAATTCAAATTAAATATCAGAATCAGAATCAGTGTTTATTGCCAACTAAATTTTCACATACAAGAAATTTGACTTGGTTTTTTTATCAGCAAGGAAATATAAAAACAAAAGAGCTCCTACTGACAGCTTAAATAGAATAAGATACAAATATTGTATTATATATTCGAAAATATATAATAGAATATAAAAACATAAAATGTGCAATGGAGGAACTGTGCAGGTATGTTCTATTCTGTGTAATATTAAGTCTAGTGTGCGTTAACGCATAATTTCATTATTACTATTATTATTATTTTTATTGCAAGACAAGAGACAATACACTTACGATACAACACGAGACAATTACAGTGAGCACAAGCCAGAAAAGGGGTATATTCATATTTTACTTGAGTGTGCGTGTTTGTGTGCGTGTGTGTGTGGATGGAAAGTCAGAGTGAGAAAAAGGAGGAAAACAAATACAAAGTCACTACGAAACAAAAAAACAAAACAAAAAAATAATAAAATAGGTGAATAAATAAGTAATTTCATGTTATAGAAATGATAACAATATTCATCGTCATTATTGCCACCATCGTCACTACCACTATCAACAAAAAATTAGCGTTGTTATAATGTCAAAGGAGACAGGGGATGTGCCGCAAAAGAGCTGGGGCTCTTATTGGTGAGACCAGTAGATAAGTACACACATAGATAAGTGGCAACAGGAGCCAGAGACCGAGCCCTAGCCCAGTGGTTCTCAAACTTTTTAGACTGCGTACCACCTCCGAAAATATTTGGCTCTCCAAGTACCACCATTATGGTAGACGTTAAAATACACTGTAGGCCTATTTCAACACACATTTCATGAAAGAGGCAAATTAATTCATAAAAATAATATTACTTATTATTGACTGCTGGCAGCCACACTGTAGGCCTACTAAGGGCTAGCGCTAGAACTTGCTAGAAAATGCAGAACAATAAAAAGTGTTCTACGTGAGAGTGTAGGCGTGCGCTCTGCAGGCTCGGTGCAAACAGTGCCGCTTTATTGTAAGTCTCTGCGTTCAACATAGCAAAACTGCCTTTTAAAAAATATCCCTCTCGACTCCTACGGAGTGTTAAGACATCAAAAGAGAGCAGAATCACATCAGCTTCAGAGCGACAGAGAGAGAGATAGAGGGAGCGATAAGGTCCGCTGTCCGTACATGCATCCAAACTGAAGCTTCTCCTGGCTCTGTTTTAAAAATGTTAATGTACAGCTGCTTGCTGTGGATTGTGTGCTGAACTCCAATAAATAACAGAATATCTGTTAATGTAGTCCTACATTAACAGATATTCTGTTAATGTAGGACTACAGCTGCTTGCTGTTGTTTCAGTACTGAACTATAACAGAATATCGAGTGGAACTTTTCAAAACACGAGGCTTACTCCTGTTGTTGTTTATGTCTGTGCGCGAGCATAAATTGAGCAGATTAAAGTTGTTTGTTGCAAAAACTAGATTAATTTAGAGGGAAAACACATTTGATATAAATACAACCCAATAGACACAAGCTAGGTAAGAGTACGACAAATTTTTGAACGGGTTTGTTTTTTATATTGTGGAGATTTCTTTGCGTACCACCACAGGGAGCCCGCGTACCACCAGCTATTTTAGTGCTGTCATGTTGAAAGACTTATGAAAGCTGATATGAGACTGTATCTTAGTTTATGTGTAAGTGTAGGAGTGATTTTATGTGCATGTGTGCTTGTGTATATGTGTATGTGTGTGTCTATGTGTATGTGTGTGTGTGTACATGTATGTGAAACACAGAAAGGTCTGTAAACAGAAAACAAAAAACTGATAAAACAGACAGATTTAGACACAAGGAAACGAACAACAAAATAATTTGAGGTAACAAAAATGCACTGAGTCTGACAAATATCAGACCATCTATACTGAGCCGTACGAGACATAGGTGCAAATGTATAATAGATCGTTTTAGTTATGTTATAAGTATAACGGAGCTGGTGATGCCTGGGTTATATCTGCAGCTAAAGGAAAGAGAGATTGAAAGGGATGTGAGTGAGTGAGTGTGCGTGTGTGCAAGAGAGTGTGTGTTTGGTGAGGATGTATGCGTATGTGTGTGGGATAGAAAGTGTGTGTGTATATTATATTATGAGGGTTTGTGTTTGAGAGGGAGAGAGATCCATGATGGCAGTGTCCACGTTCTCTGTGTTGTTCTCCGATGTACAGACGCGGATTTGACTGCGCGTCCCAACAGATTTTCTCGAGTCCGCCTGTTTGTAAACTGAGCACGCTTCATAATAACATAAAGCTATGCATGTTCTTAATTACGACTTTATGTACAAGAGGTAACCGTGCTTAGGCCCAGTTTGTCCTAGAGCAGTGCGAGCACTATTTCTTCAACAGCTTCACTGGTCCACTGCTTTGATGTCCTCACAACAGGTTTGCAGAGCTTTAGTTTCTGCTGGTAAGAGGAATCAAATAGACCATTACATGGTCGGAGTGACCCAATTGCAGCGCAGGGGGACGGCTTAATAAGCATTGATGAAGGTGGTGTAATAGTGGTCCAAACATTTCTCTCAGGGCATTGGGAAAAATACGGAGGTTGCATGCTGCCTTGAACCGTTTTAAAATATAAAAGTAGATACATTTTTTGGATTCCCAGTGTGTCTCATAATGCTCATTCTTATTTATGCTTTTTGTTAGGTCTGGGCCAGCAACTTCCTGCCAAATGAGCCAGCTCTTTCAGATCGCTGTCAAAGGGCTTACTATGAGAAACATGGACGGCCACTGCTGATGCAATATGCGATACAAGAGGCTGAGAAAAAGGTACAGCTATGCACATATACAATTCTACAATTCACTTAGCAGACGCTTTTATCCAAAGCGACGTACATCAGAGAGTAAGTACAACACAAGCAAGGATAAGAGCAAACGATAAGCTTTGAGTCCGATTGGACACACAGGTGCTGACATTGCACAGAGGCAAAGCACAACATTGAAGGCAGTTCTTGAGAGCTCTAATCAGTATAGAAACCATCTTATAAGTCGTCGTTATCAAACAAAAACAATCATCACAACCATCATCATCATCAATAATAAAGAGACCATCATCATTAAGTTAGTAGGTGTTCATAAAGAGCTGGGTCTTTAGCTTTTTCATAAAGGTGCAGAGGGACTCTACAGATCGAATGGAGTTTGGAAGTTCATTCCACCACCGGGGGGCGACAGAGGAGAAGAGTCTAGTCAGAGACTTAGGACCCTGTTGTAAAGGTTGGATCAGACACCTTTCATTGGCAGAGCGTAGTGGACGGGAGGGAGTGTAGACCTGGATGAGAGAGTTAAAGTAAGGAGGAGCCGTTTTTGTCGCTGTTTTGCAAGCGAGCAGCAGAGTTTAAGATTTGATGCGAGCAGTAACTGGGAGCCAGTGTAAGGAGATGAACAGCGGAGTGACATGTGCTCTTTTAGGAAGGTTGAAGACTAGTCATGCTGCTGCATTTTGTATCATTTGCAGAGGTTTGATAGTGCATGTAGGAAGACCTGCCAGTAGAGAGTTGCACTAGTCGATTGCGTGATATCACAAGAGCCTGTACCAGGAGCTGTGTAGCATGTTCTGACAGGTAAGGTCTGATCTTCCTGATGTTGTACAGGGCAAATTGACATGACCGGGCAATCGAGGCTACTTGAACCTTAAAAGTTAGCTGGTCATCAATCATGACATCCAGGTTGCGGGCAGACTTTGTGGGCATGAGTTTGGTTGTTCCAAGCTGGATATTGATCTGTGGTTGCATAGAGGGACTGGCTGGGATGACAAGGAGCTCAGTCTTTGAAAGATTGAGTTGAAGGTGGCATTCATTCATCCATTTAGAGATATCAGCAAGGCATGATGAGATTCTTGCAGAGACTGTAACATTCTCTGGCGGGAATGACAGGAAGAGCTGGGTATCGTCAGCATAGCAGTGGTATGAGAAGCCATGAGAGCGGATTATTGAACCAAGTGAGCTTGTGTATATGGAGAAGAGAAGGGGACCAATCACTGACCCTTGAGGTACCCCTGTGGATAAGCTGTGCTTTGGACACTTCTCCCTTCCACGACACTCTAAAGGATCGCCCAGAGAGGTAGGACACGAACCAGCAGAGGGCAGATCCTGAGATGCCAAGTTCAGAGAGCGTGGATAGGAGGATTACAGGTCTAGCAGTAATAGAACTGATGACTGACCCGCAGCTCTGGCAGCTCGTAGCGATTCTGTTACTGACAGTAGTGCAGTTTCAGTAGAGTGGCCCCGCTTAAAGCCTGACTGATTTGGGTCAAACAGATTGTTTCTGGACAGGAACTCAGAGACTTGCTTAAAGACTGTGCGCTCAAGTATTTTTGGCAGAAAGGGCAGAAGAGAAACCGGTCTGTAGTTTTCAACCTGGGCTGGGTTTAGTGTGGGTTTTTTGAGCTGAGGAGTGTCCCAAGCTTGCTTGAATGTGGTGGGGGAACACACCCGTTGACAGAGAGGAGTTGATGATATGCTTAAGTGCAGCATTAAGCGGAGAGGAAGTGGTCTGCAGTAGGCTTGATGGTATTGGGTCCAGAAGACAGGTGGTGGGCCGAGAGTCTAGCACAAGCTTTGAGACTTCATCCTCAGTCAGAGAGGAGAATGAGTCGAGTGAGGCACTTTTGGTTGGTGCCTTTGGGCTGAGTTGGTCAGGCTCAGAAAACTGGTTACTGATGGTTGCAACCTTTTCAGTAAAATACGAGGCAAACATGTCTGGTGTGAACAGATCGGAGGGTGGAGGAGGAGGTGGTTGAAGCAGTGAGTTAAAAGCAGAAAACATTTTTCTTGTATCTGTGGCATTGCATATCTTGTTCTGATAATATGTTGTCTTGGCTGTTTTCAGGCTGGAGGAGAATGAGACAAGTCTTTGCTTATAGTCATTGAGGTCAGCGGACTGTTTGGATTTTTGCCACTTTCTCTCTGCTGACCTCAGCCCTGCTCTTTGCTCTCGTCTGTAGAGAACAAGCAGTATACATTTAAATACAAATTAATTTCAAACAGCTATCCACTACATGGAGGGTAAATGTTTATCCCAACAGTCATGTAAAAACTTTACTGAGTTATAATAACAGCGTATTACGTAGCTGGGGTCTGGGCAATACCAGCAAATATATTTTTGATTATTTATCAATTTCCTGATATTATAAAATGATCCAAATTATCTGTGACTTAAAGCAGCCATCATAGGAAGAGGTTGAAATCATAAGATGTGACCTATGCAGTTGACTGCCTCCCCACTCCCAACCTCACTATACCCTTCTCACTAAAAATCCCTCTACCTTCCCCTAACCCTGTTTCACTGTTACAATGAAAAAAAAATCTTGACCAGATTTAATTGGGGTTTCAGTTACTTAAGCATAATGGAAATGTTGTTTAAAAATTGTCTGAAATAACATGAAAATGCATAGATCTCTGTCAAATAAGATAACACAGACTCATAGACTATACTGTAATACGCAGGTTGAATGCTTATTATAGTGCGTATAGTCACCCCCCAAAGGCCCATTCTGAAAAATCCTGTCAATGATATATTATTTTTTCCCTGTACTTTCAAAAACATTTAGATTTGTTTATTCTCTAGGAGCGGCTGGTGGTGGAGAATTCTGATTGGCTGGCAGTAGTGCCATATTGGGCAACATGGCCTTACCAGATGCTGTTGTTACCACGACGACATGTCCTGAGAATCAATGAACTGACAAGAGATGAGAGAGAAAGTGAGTATGGTTGGATTCCTGACCAATTACTTCTATGCTCATTCAAAGCACATTCATTCATAAGGGGAGAAACCTATTGATTTGATATCCCTTATAATAATTTATTGTTCAGAGAGATGTTTGAAGTGATTCTAAATTAGCATCACGTCAACTGCAAACAAAAGCAATTTAAACTCCAAAAAGTAAAATTTTGTTTATAGCTGTTTATTGCAAATGGTCTTGACAGGTGTTACACTAAATGTTCTTGCATGTTTTTCCAGCCTTTACAACTATAAGTAAAAAAAAAAAAAAAACATTAACTTGTCTTCATATCAAATGATAGAATAATTAGCAGTAACAGTTGTTGGTGTTGTCAGACCATAAGTTAGATCACCTATCATTAGGTTGTTGACTGTTGAAGAGGTGTTTAGCTAAAATACTTTTGTTTTTCAGTTTTGTATTTTATTAGTAAACCCAATACAAACATAGAAAAAAAACATTGTTTGAACATGGATGACTGCTCAACAAAGAATATTAATTTATAATTAGCTCCATATGTCAGTAGATTTTAAAGATCACCCACTAAAATATAAATAAATCAAGCATGTCACAGATTATGTGCTTAATTTGCTCCATTTTTGGATTACTGGACCAAATCATGTAGAACATTATTTGATTTTTTTTTCATTTTCAATTATATTCCTATGACCAGAAGATAATACATACTTCACAGTGTGTAATGTTAAATGTATGTGTTTATCAGAAGTGACCAGTAGGTGGCAGAATAACATTAGTTACTACATGTAGACATGTAACTGGCAAACTGGCGTACGCCTATTCCCACGCAAAGTCTGTGATCTATAAAAACAAACCTGACGGTAAAATGTGCGCACCGGTAAGCAAACTCTGACCCAGGCGTACGTACATTTCGAGGGCATGGGAAATTGGCGACACAGACGGCAAAGTGGTGAATTGAAGCCAGCAGAATGTATATTGATGTCTCTTCCACATTTTATTTCACTAAATATCAAACTCATATATTATATTGGCAAATATTGGCACAGCGCAACCAGCTGATCGCGGGTGTAAACAATGGAGCCATGACTAAATGTTGGGTCTCCCGAGGAAGTTTCACAGAGTCCACAGAGGAAGAAAAACAACACCAATACTCCAAAAAGATGAATGTCCATGTTTGTTGTTTGAAGTTGGAGTTTCTTGCAAAGTTATAACAACAGCAAGTCAATATTAACAAAATAAACTAAAGAACAATGACGAGGGGGGTTGGAGCTGCCATAACAAGCTTCCACCCAGAGCGGCGGCCACTTTCTTGGCAACAAACCTCGATGATTAGAGTGTGCAATTTCGTTATGTTATTTGAAACAGAAGTTGTAGGTGTCGTTAATTGATGTAAAAGCAAAATAGAAAATGACATTAATTTATGAGAACAGGAAAGTTAGCTAAAGCAAAACCTAGGTCGGCAATCAGGTTATGAACTGTGAATGTGATCGATACAACAATGGAAGTTTTTTTTATTGATTTTTTATAGTTTAAAAAAAAAAAAAAAAAAAATTCAAATACTGTCATATACCGTATACCGTGGTAAAATGGCAGGATGGTATGGTATTATGAAAAAACGAATACCATCATAGTTTCAATTCACAATTCACCCATCCCATTAAGAGCAACCTTGGTACCTTAGCAGCTAATATCAAACCCACTGCCAGAAACTTAGGAGTTACATTTTACTATAAACAGGGGTCAAAGTTATATTACATAATTACATTAATATCAAAAGTTACATAATTGTTGACGCCCTTTGAGCCAGCCCGCAGCCTTAGATCCCCAGGTAGGGGCCTCCTGGTCGTTCAATAGTCGATACTTCAATCTAAAGGTAACCATGTTTTCGCCATCAGGGCTTTGGAACGACCTGCCAGAGGAGATAAGGCTAGCAGAATGAGTGACTTATTTTACATTTCTTAAAAAACACTTTTATAGACTTGCTTTATGTGATGTTGTCTTGTTTCTTTTTATCTCCTTTTTTATCTTTTAGCCCATCTTACTTCTTTTACTATTGTGATTCCTTTCCCCCAAGTACTTCATTCATTTCATTGCACTTTTGTTTTTTATTCATTTTGATAGTTTTTCTTGATTTATAGCTTTAACCTCTTTATGAGTTTGTGCAGCACATTTCATACAGAAGCAATTCAAAATTCATTCTAGATAGATAGATAGATAGATAGATAGATAGATAGATAGATAGATACTTTACTGATCCCAAGGAAAATACATAAGTTATGTAAGAGAAAGAAGCTTCAATAAAAGATAAAAGAGCACAGAAAAATATAAAGTGAGATGCACATGAAACTGAAACATGTTGTAATACTCGCAAAACTTGCATTTAGTGTATCTGTATTTTTCTACCAAGCTATCTCCCTGGCTTATTATTATCAGCAGTTTTACCTTTTTTTAGTAATAAAATCTTTAAATTCTTTCAACAGCTCAATCAGCAGCGTTTGTTCAGCTGTTGAAAAAAACCGCACTCTAACTTTCCCTTCTGTGTGACTCATTTGATCGTCTTTTCATTCATTTGCGCTTCCTATAAACCTTGTGTGCGTGCACAAAGCGAGACTATGCAAACCTGTCTTGAGTTAATTAAGGCTGGATTGCATTCATGGAACAACTTGAGGCTTAATTGATAGATGGTGTTAGTTTCAGCCTGACTTTTTCAAGTGAGCTTGGCTTTAGCTACGTTGAGGGGTTTTTCGTTTTTCGTGGTTTTTGTTTTGGTTCTTTTACTGTCGGGGTTTTGTTGTTTTTGGTTGTGTGTGTCTGTGTTGTGTGTGTCTTCTGTGGGTTGTGTTGTTGTTGCATTTTGTTTTGATTTGGGTTCCTATATGTCATTGTTATGTTTGCTTATGCACATGTCCAAGCACTCCGTAAGCCCGTAACCCATTTTGCAAGATTGTATGGATTTTAACCTCTTAGCTCAAGCCCACTATATCCACAGGCCAATGGACAGGCTGTAAAAGCAGTTCAAATTGTAAAAGATGCATGCAATGGTAAAGTGATCCTTAATTTCAGTAGTTCTGTTTGTGGAGTGTCTCCTGCTGAACTCCTCATGAGTCACAAACTGCTCACCACACTTCTACACGTTTAAAAGATAACAACAAAGACCTGACTAACAAAATGATTCAATCAGGCTTCAACAGAAAATTAGTTACAACAAAACAGCAAAGTGTCTGGAACAGGAAGGATTGAGGTTCTCTTTCGTCCCAAGACTTTCTCTCCACCCCGTGACATTACATGTACGGGATATGAAATCTTGCTCGTCAGAGTCTGTGGATATTTCTTTAAGACACACCGGCTTACCTGGTCACGACCCACACCTCATCTATAAAGCACCTGTGCAGGCGTGCAATCATTGTTTGTTTGATCTCCACTTGAGTCAGAGTGGAGTGTCTAAACTGGGTGATTTTTGAAAATGTCATGACAAAAGAGAAGAAAGTCAAAAGAATGGAAAGGTTGTTCACCAGTGTATCCGCTTACCAAAGTTGGGCGTCTGTCTATGGGCAGCCTCCCTGGATTGCTGATGTTCTTGTATTCCATTCCTTGTGCATCATTTCTGGTGACCTCCCAGTCACGGTACTTCTGTGGGAAACCAGATTGGCGACTGTGTCCCCTTACAGGCTTTTTGCTCTAAATCCTCCATTGCCTCTTACAGAAATTTTTTTATATTTTTAATTTACAAGTTTCAAAGTTGTACATTCCTACATCTTTCTTTGCTCTTACCTATAATTTGTCTTTGCTTGAGCTCCCCTCCCTAATGCCTTTAATAATACACATTTATCAATTCACTGACTTTAATTACTTATTTTGTCTGTCTGTCTGTCTGTCTTTCTGTCTGTCTGTCTGTCTGTCTTTCTACCTATTTATCAGGTCTGGCTGACATTATGAAGAGACTGTTGACCAAGTACGACAATTTGTTTGAAATTTCTTTTCCCTACTCCATGGGCTGGCACGGTAAGAATAAAAACTGTTTGTATTAATGTGAGAACATTTTTTAAGTCTCATTTCCTTCTTACATAGCTTGACAGAGAAGTGAGTGACTGCTGAGAAAGATAATTTAAGTCCATCTGTACATTTATAAGTTTAAGCTGTTGTTACACAATAACTCCATAGTTCATGATGTTCTAGGGTTTCCCTTTCACACAACTAGCACATTGACACACCTCCTATGTCTTATTACAGTTAGGCTTTTATGTCTTTAAGTATTAAGTCATGTCAACTCTGAACTCTCAGAAATTCTTTATTTGTTCATTTTAGTTTGGTTTGGTGCATCCCAGAGACCGTCTATTTTATATAAATAGTCCTACGTATTTAATTCTCTTGAAGTTGATTAGATACCTACCAGAGTATCTGGGCCAAGTAAAAAAAAAAAAAACATGCAAATTTTGAGGTTGAAAGCACAATTTTTCGAGACAAATGTCCTACACTTACGACTTTATTCTTGATTATATTTTCTACACACATATATATATATATATATATATATATATAGATATGAATTATTAACGAGAATGAAGTTGTTTTTTTAGTCTACGGTTTGATGTTTTTTTTTACGAAGGGCAATTTGCTGTCTTTGTTTTCTTTGTTCAGGCGCACCCACTGGCTCCCATTTGAAGGAGGACAACACTCACTGGCAGCTACATGCTCACTATTACCCCCCTCTGCTGCGGTCTGCAACAGTTAAGAAGTTTATGGTGGGTTATGAGATGCTCGCCCAGGAGCAAAGGGACCTAACACCTGAACAGGTAAAAAACACAACAAATACATTATACAAATCAAGCTGGAATATTACTATTTGGGAACTGCAATACATACATATTTAAGAAAAAATATATTTGCACAAATTATTTTGCAGTGTTAGGTCCTCCTTTTAGTTTTAAGTATGAACATTTTTACCATATTGAAATTAAATGTCTTGTTATAAAAGCTTTCTCCCATCCTAGGCCTTTGAAAAACCTGAATCAAAAGCGGACCCTTTTACAGCATTATTTAACACAGTGCAAACCCCAGAATACTGTATATTTTCTCTCTGCCCCTGTTTTTGTATTAAATGTCTCTTTAAGCTTTGAACTGTTGTTTTTTTTTTCTCAGGCTGCTGAGAAGCTAAGGAACCTACCTGAAGAACACTATAAAACCAGAGAGAACAGGGAAAGGGGAAAATGAAAGGAGAAAGTGTGTGGGGAGGGGAATAAAGTGAATTGATCTTGTCTAATGAAAAATGATGGCTTTATTTGAACTATAGTATACTAGATTGTTTGTTGTCTTCTTTCTTTTTTATATATTTGTCATGATTTGTTCCTTTGTTCTTTAAGTCATGTTTAGTCTGTAATCTTGCGTATTGTACCTTTTCATAATTGTAACACCAAGACTTTGATTATAAATAAGAATGGACGAAAAAAACAGTGCGCTTTCAGTTGCAGTCTTTTAAAAACTGTGAGTGAGCTTACCCTGTGAGTGTCTGACCAATCAGAGATGTTCAGTACTGCAGGGGCTGCATGACCTACAGGTCTTTTTCTAGGGGTATATCTTTTACCCCAGAACTACTTGTGTCCTAATGAAAAGGATATTTGCTCAGTGAAGCTTTGAGTGAGAGACCTGCAATCAGTAATAATGTACAGCCTGTTTCATCTGTTTGGCACTAGAAAAATCTATTGTGCCTTTTGCCTTTTGTCTTTTCAGTTTGATCACTGCGACCTCTCACTCCAATCACCATTCCAGTTCAAGTCCACTCCTCAAATGCTGCATTCTTCCATCACCACTACTGGTGTCTAGACTCCATCAGGGGGTATTCTGCTGTTAGCCTAGCTACCTTTTAATGAAGACACCTGATGATGGAGTGTAATCGCTAAAGACATTGCGAATTTGTTCTTTTTCAAAACTTGTAAATGAAACAATTATCCATTCATAATTATCTCCTGATTGAAATACAAGTTGGCAGAGAAGAATGCCTGCCAAGAGGCCCACATCCATGTAATGAGATTGGTTTTGACATTGGTTGCCTTGCATTAGTCAGAAAATATTCACACCAACCTACTTCTCCGTAGGAGGATATTGAAATTCACCTTTTTCTTAAAGCCTACATCCACACTCAACTTTTAAGTCAAAGCTTTTTTATATAGCACATTTTAAAACAGCCACAGTTGCCCAGATGTCTACAAGCTTTAAACACATTATACATTAAAATAAACATGACTAAATATGAAAATAAGAATGTTACACAATAAAAACATGATAAATGAGGGATTAATATAGCTGCATAATAAATATGTCTGGATGTCAAGCTCAGCGTGTTCCCTCTGGAGCATGCAGGTGCTACAACCCAGCTAAACTGCGAAGAACAATTAATACAATCTCTTTTTTTAATTCTTTATTTTAGAATTTGGACAGCAACAAAATCACAGAGCATTGTCACAGAAAAACAATTAAGTCTCCTTTGCAGTCCTCAGTTTTTTAAATGTGGGAGAGATAAAGTGTGCACTCAAAATGAATTAAAAAAATGGCGAATAAGTTAAATAAAAGATTAAGCTAAATTATATTAGGTATATTAAGACAAGACAACATCACAAGAACACCTCCACAAAATATGTTAAAGGTTTAACAGCCCAATTCAACCAGAGTTTAACAAAAACTTCCTTCTGTAGACGCAGAAAAAAAGTGATTCTTTACATAACATACATACTGTATCATTTACAATATTAATCCAGCTTTGTATTGTGGGAGGTTCAGGAAGTAACCAGGGCGCGATCACACTAGCCATCCATATCGTGCCGTACTCAAGCATGATTGGCCCCCCCTTTCCCCAGCGGGGGGGCTGGCGATCACAATGCTCAAAGACAATCCGGACCAAAGCACGGTTACCTCTTGTACATAACGTCGTAATACAGCACATGCGTGGCTTTATGTTATTATGACGAGTGCTCATTTACAAACAGGCAGACTTGAGACAAAAAAGAAAAAGAGACGCGCAGTCGAGTCCGCTTTTGCGCATCATAGAACAACACATAGATCATGAGATCTATTTTACTGATTTTGTGGCTTATTTTGAGTCATTTTAATCACATACAGCCATAAATTAATTTAAAAAACAAAAGTTACGCGCGGTACAGTCCGCATCAGCACATAAGAAAACATGACAGCTAGCTTGTGTCTTTATTTTGTGTCATGTTAGTCAGATACAGCCTGAAACTCAGGATTTCTCTATAATAAATGCTGTCAACGTCGTTTACCCCCGTGCTTTGCTCTTGCATGAACTGTACCGTGCTGAAGCACACCTCTCCAAAGTGTGCCATGGCAAAGGACGGAGCGGTCACACTGCTCATAAAAAACTGGACTTTAGGGGTGAAGCGTGCTTAGGCACGGTACGGATTGCCAGTGTGACCGTGCCCTAATATGCCAAACAGGTATTTTTCAGTGCCTCTTGCCTGACAATCTGCATTTCCTAAAAACAATGTGTTTAACTGCAGGAGCAGGTCCATGTTAAGAATACACTTCAATGTTTCATGAAACTCTTAACCAGAAAGGTTGTGTCACTGGGCACTCCCAGTGGGGATTGACATGTGGGAAAGGAGCCACAGGTTGGATTCGAACCTGGGACGCCTGCGTTGAGGACTATAGCCTCCATATAAGCACACTAACCACTGCGCCACCAGCGCCCCAAACTGTCCTCTTTCTGTTAAAGAAATGAGTGTTGTTATTTCTTTTGTGGTCCATGGTTTAAATCCGTAATCCATTTTGTTAGGTTTAAAACCGGGATCATAGGCACACCATTGAATTATTTGTATTTTATCATCAAGTTTATATTCCCCTCTTATTGTCCTCTAGGTTTTTTAACAGAGCTTTGATTAAAGGATTTTGTATTCTCACAGATTTTTGTGAGCCAACACTGTCTGAAAATGGAGGGTCATTCATGCTTTGCCAGATCTTGCCAGATAAATCTGAATAACCTTATTGAGTTCTGAAAGGGTTTTAGAGGTAATTTCCACGGGGAGGGCCTGAAATAAGAAGAGATAACAAGGCAGAACATTCATATTCACATAGTCAATTCTGTGACTGAGACTAAGAAATGAAATGGAGTTCCACCTATGTATGTCCTCTTAAATTTTTGTTAGGAGGGAGGTTTATATAATGTTTTTGGTAAGTGTATTCCCAAATATTTCGAGATTCTGGTCCTGTTTTAAGCGGAATTTCTCTCTGATGTGGTTTGGGGGTGAGTAATTAAAGGACATTATTTGTGCATTTAATGTATATCCTGCATATCTACTAAATAACGTTAATTAATTCAGGAAATACATTTTAAGGTTGAGTTAGATATATAGCATATAATGCCACCTTGTGGTTTATCCCCTCCATTCTGATTCCTTTGATTCTTTCTGTCTGCCTTATCAACTGTGCGAGAGGTTCAATATAAAGGGTGAAAATCAGTGGCAACCGAGGACACCCCTGTCACATTTCATGTTCTAATATGACTGAGTCTGAAAGATAACCATTTATTTTAACCTGGGCTGATGGTTTACTATGAAGTGTGCAGATGACGTTAACAACATTTTCATGCATGCCAAATTTCCTCAGTGTGTTACATAGGAAAGGCCGATGAAGAGAGCTTCAAAATTGTTATGTTAAATTATTTATTATGTGAAGTGACTGTTTAATATTATCATAAGTTTGTCTTTTTGAAAAGAAAAAGCCAGTCTGGACATTATGAATGAGTCAGGGGGAACCTTTCCAGTCTCTTGGCAACAATGGCTGCAAATAATTTTGACTCAACGTTCAACACATAAATTGTCTCTTTGCTGTCCACTTCTAAATCAGTGACAAGTATGCCTTTTTGTAACAGTATAACAAGACCCAAAAATGTCATTTTTATGTTTAAAATTATTTGTGTGTGTTATTTGTGTTATTACTTGTGTAAATCAGTGTAGTGATACAACAGAAAACTCAAAGTACTTGGTCTTTTTCGATTATTTTATTAGCAGTTTATTTTGCTCCTCTGACAGAACCGGTAGGTTGAGATTACTTAGAAATCGAACTATTTGTTGCTCATCTTCTAGTTGTGGTTGTGTGTAAAAGCATATAGTACTATTTAAAAGTCTGTTGCATTTCCTTTTGTTTATATTGTGTGGTTTTTGAAATAGGATCTCTTCTTTGGATATGGTGTTGTCGGTTTGTTGTTTCTGCAGCCTTCTTGGAGTTTAATTGATTTTGAGCCTGACTTGTAATATTTCTGTTTTGTAAAAAAAAAAAAAAAAAAAAATTGTGAATCTAATATGTTTATTTAATTTCTGATTTTCTTTATTTTTGTGATCAAGGCAGTTTTTGTTCACTTTTGTGGCAAAAGGGTTCTTTCATTGTTTGTTTGTTGTTAGTCTTAATTGTTTTTTTTCTTTTCATGGGGACAAAAGGATAATATCTTCCCCCTGACAAAAGCTTTCAATGAATCCCATACTTTCACAGACTTATTTTACCCAGTGTCCTTTTCTTCTAGGAATAATTTAATTTTGTTTTTCAACTGAGTTTTAAATTTTGGGTTACTTAGGATACTAGTATTTAACCTCAACAATGTTCTTCCTGGACTATCACCAATATGTACATTGCAGGAGAGAGGGGCATGGTCAGATAAATTAGTACATCCAATATCCCAGCTCAGCATTCATGACGATCTCTCTTAAAGGCAAAATATAGTCTATTGTTACACCCCGCCACAGGCGTCCCTATGTGGCTAACAACAAACCACACATTGACCCATTAAAAGACACTTAAAGGGATACTTCACCCGTTGAAACATGAATCTGTATTGACGTTGGGTCATATATGTAGTAGGAATGTGAAATAAATTTTGAAGTTGGTGCCTTCTTGACCAGGAAAAGGCAGAAAGTGTCTTTTTGGCTCATGTGGATGAAAGACTCTAAATCCCAGAATGCACAGCACCGCAGACCACTCCCATTAAGGTCACATTCCAGGAGGACCATCTTCAGGATTCAGCAGATGTTGCCCTTGAGCACCAGCATGAAACCAAAACAACTCGCGGTGCATTGTTGTGTTAGCATGCTAATGCTAGTGATCTTTATTATGCTCGTATCTTCACACTGCATGTAAATTTAGACAAAATGAGCGTGTTCTAGAAACACAGTTAAGCAGTGAGTACAGTATGCTATTCTTCTTTTCTCTAGTCCCTCAATTAAACAACTTTTATTCGCGAGGGGAGGAGTCAGCCGGCCATCCCGGCAATGTAAACAAACTGAAAATATGACTCGGAAAACTCGGAAAACATCACAGACAGTGGGACTCGGGTGTTACACCCATTGTAGACAGTCATTACTCACAGAGTTATTTTCAGAGGATATACTTGATTTATATTATATTTAAGTGTGAAAAATCGGATATAAAGCCATTAAGAAAGGGGACAGTGCAAATGAATAAAACACATGATTATACATGGGTAAAAATACCAGAATTAGCCAAAACGCTACTTTTCATCTGTAGTCCCCATAGCAACCACTGCCATCAGTGTGTGAATAGGTATAAATGGGTAGGTGTGACATGCTGTGCAAAAGCGCTGTGAGTAGTTTGAAGACTAAAAATGCGGTATATAAGCTCAAGTGCATTTACCATTTACAGTGGATTTTAGGGAGGCTCTGTGCCAGTCACTACAAACACAGGAAAGCCTTCAGATGAAGCTAACGGACCTGGAGGCACACTCAAGGCATAACAATGTCTGCATTTATGGCATTCCCGAGGGAGCTGAGAAGGACAGCATCCAGCAATTTGTTAGCAACTTTATCAGAAAAGAGCTGCAGCCGGCTGCTGAAATTGACCTAGGAATACAGCGGTGCCACAGAGCTCTCAGCTCCAAAGGAGACGCAACCCAGGTCGGTGATTGTTTACTTCCAGGAGTATAAAACTAAGAAACTGGTGTTGCACTCCACATGGTTTTTCCACGGTGAGAGGAGGATTTATTTTGACCATGACTACCCTGCAGAGACGCTTGCTCAGCGATAAAGGAATACGATTTCAAACGCCACCACCGGAAGCTCTGAATGTTTTTCCACTCCGGTAGAGTTTCCTACAGGTTGGCAGCTGGGAATGATTTTCGTATGGAGAGACCTTCACCCAACAGAAAAACAATTTACATTCTTCTCAGTGAGCCATAATGTTCATTCAAGAATTGACTACTGTTTTTACTTATAACTCAGACAGACATAGACTGAAAGACTGTAGAACAAGGATCAGAGACGTCTCTGTTTACTCAGCTGTTTATTTTACTTTGCATCTAGACATGAAAAAGAAAAACACTGGCAGCTTAATACAAGTATCCTGAATGACAAAGTATGTAAGGAATACTTACAGAAGGAATTTAAAAAGTACATGGATAATAACAATAATGGGGACGTATCGCGAAGTGTTTTATGGGATGCTGCTAAATCAGTGATCAGAGGAAAACTGATATCCTATACATAGAAAAAAAGATTTAAAAAATAACATTTAAAAATCTTAGAGAAGGAACATAGTGAAGGGGGGAACTCTAATATATTAAACCACAAGGTTAAAAATAAATAAACAAAATATACTGTCATGATTTGGTTTTGTATTTTATATTTCCCCGCTTTATCCCAGTGTTCCTTGTGTGTTAATGTTTCCTAGTGTTGATGGTTTCCTAGTTTTGTCTTCAGTGTTTTCTGTTTTATTTTGTCATTTATTATCTTTGTGTATCTCTGTGTTCTAGTGTGTTTTGTTAGACTCTTGAGTTCTGTGTGTCTTTAGTGTTTCATGATTTATTTTGTATTGTCCTCAGTGTTTCTGGTCTTGTGTTTCTCCCTGCCTTGATTGCCCTGATTGCCCTCACCTGTGTCTTGTTAGTCTTACCTGTGTTTGATTACCCCTGTCTATTTAGTCTCTGTGTTCCTTCCCTCGTGTTGTCAGTTCATTGTATGTTCTAAGTAGCCAGTGATGATTGTTGCAGTGTCAGTTTTTGCTCGTGCTCCTGTGTGGCTCCTTGTTTTTTGATCCCTGTGTTTTTTGTTGAGCTTTTGGAAGCAAGTTTTTGTTTGCCTCTGGTCTTTTTGATTATTAAATACTTTTAGTTTATTCTGCACTTGGGTCCACCTCTCCTTTCCCACTGTTCATGACATATATGAAGAGGAATTAAGAAAAAAGCTAAATTTGCCAAGCAAAGGTATTGAAAAAATACGGGAAACACTTGTGAATTTTTCCAATTCAACTTTTTTATTCTGATAGAACACAATCTTAATGTTGTATATTTATTGTCTTCTGACTTCAAACTTAATGATTTAAAATATTTATTCTCAAAAACAACATACTAACAGGGAAGTCAAATCAAATTGGGTCAATTATATAGAGTAAAATAACTATATAATTTAAAACCTTGCCCTCCCTAAGATAACTTTTGTCTCTATATCCATAAATGAAACTTTTAGACTGATAAGAAAGAGACTTACAAAAAAAAGGAAACTATGCCAATGCATTTAACTGATAAGATGTCAAGAAAAGTGTCCCTTTTCATTAAATGTAGCTTTAAAAATGTATTAAATAAATTGTAATTTATTGTGGTAAATATTTTAGTTATTACACACTTTCTAATCAATTTGATAACAATAAAACATATTTAATCATTATTTTTAAATAAAAACATAACACAAACAGCATTGACATTGATGGTAACAGAGATGACGTGCATAACAGAGTTGACCACCCATAGTTAAAAGACCAAAAAACTATTACACATTCACCTTAACTTATGGCTTAATTTGAACATTTTAAGAACATTTTATATACAGAAACATTTTTTAATCCTAAATAATACATCTGGGATATGAATATTTCATGAATCTGAATAATAACAGTGTGTGTCTCGTACAATACTGAC